AGAGGGCTAATCCTTTATTATGGAGTGAGGAGTTCAGCAGTACTGATGTGGATATGGATGAACAGTTTTGAAATGGTAGTTTATCTTTACAGTTTGCATGTATCTGGAAATAATCTCTTCTCATTTATTTTTCCGACACTAGTTTGGTTTATTTACCTGTAACTCGGGATTTAAACTGATGAGAGATTTTGGAAAATTTTGATCATTTTAGTGACCACTTTTTGCCGAGTGAATCTCGGGTTAGCTGATGCATCTTTCCAGTTCTAGCAATCGAATTTATAGAAGTTTTCAGTGTGGTTGATTCTCTTATGCATTGTATTAGTGTAATCTATATGGATGGTGACTGGAAATCCATCTCTTCATGTCTCGTTTAGTGGGGTAGATTTTGTCTAAAGTACAGTGCTCTTTGGTCATTCATTTCTTACAAAGTAATTTGATTGTATCATAGATATAACATTAAAAACAAAAATAAATAAATAAATAAGAAGTTTGAAAAGGTCTCCAGTCTATGTTTGTTGCAGAAAGTAGGATTATTGTTGTCTTTTTTTATATCATTAATGTACGATATTGTAACAAATAGTACAGTGGACTCTTGAGTTCAGATATCGTTCTCATGAAAACTAACTTTAGGGCTTAATTTAATTTTTCTAACTCATATTTGACAAAAGCGAGTAAATAATTATAATAGCTGTAATTATTTTTTCTAACTACTTTTTTAACTAATTGAAAATATAATAAGATTGTAAGCAATTGATAATTCAAAATTTAAATATGTGCTAAATATTAGGAAATAACAAGTTCATCTATGGATCACCTTTGTTCTTAATACAAGATTCATAACCTAATGTAGTGTTTGATCGAATTCTTTTAGTGTATTGAATTTACTCTTCTCAAGTTCTTGTTAAGCCTATTTAACTAATTAAATTTCATATCTCTATGTGAATCAATTTTAGTTAAACGAAACACTAGTTCTAAGAATTTATATTATGACTGCAATAATTAGTATATGTATATCAACACGTTATATTAATTTATCGGATTTTATTATATGATCTAAATCTCAAACTCCCTTCTCGATTCGTAAGAGATTCACCTAATCATCAAATTATTGA